GAGGCGAGCGTAGAGATTTATTAAGTAAAGATGTGGTCTGCGTGACATCTGGTCGGTACAAGATATTGCAATTGGAAGAAGACGAATTTCCTCGACCATTAACGATGATCCTTGTTTAAGCTTCATCATCTTCTTGCTAAAAATCTTTCGTAGATAATATGGGACGCAGATAGAATCTCGTAGGATTGCTTCGACACGTCGACGACATTGCTGAGGAAAGGAGTGGTACACCCGGAGCGAGAGAGGATGGAAGAACGGTCGCTGCGCCAGCCAGTGTAAAGGAGATTGGCAAGCTAACGGGGAGAAAGAGCGATTGCTAGAGGAAGCGAGAACGAGAAAAGGGAATGTACACGAGCAAACGGGACAGACAAAAGTGGTGGGTGAGAAAGAGAACGACGGAGCGAGGTGCATGGAGCGAACGAGAGAAAAAGAGGGACGGTGTTCGTAATCAAAGAGGCAACCCGCAGCGCGGCTGCGGCGTGGAAGAAAGTCAGCCTACCGAGCGGCTCATCAGTCCGGCACAGTGCGGTGTCCCGAATGCACGTCGAACCATCGATTTTCCGCGTGTTCTTGCCACGTGATTCTGTTCCGAGTATCACGCAGAACCGCACGAACACGTTCGTTCCACCGGTACCAAGTGGAAGCCACCAGCCGACTCCGATTAACTTCGATGCATCGCTCGATCGGCAACTGCGATCGTGCAACGCAACGAGATAGCGGTCTCTCGCACTCTCGCGTCTATTGGACATCCGCATTTTTATAGAATCACGCGCATACACTAGAAATACTTGAGAAAATTTTACTGGAGAACGCACGTATATAAGCTATTAGAGAAACAAAAGTGTGAACAGAAGAATTAAAAAATCGTGGATTCGACCTGCACGAGTGTTACACGGACCGTAACAACGCAACGATCGAAGGGATTTAGCAATGCTCATGAATGGTATGTAACACATATGATAATCATCTGGAAAATTACAAAGAAATGGGAGAAGAGATCATCGCAATCTCAAGGATATTGCTTTCTGCGTTCATTCTCTTTATGTGGTTTATTAGTAACGCTAACTGCACTTTGAGAAGGAAATGCAAAACGTTGCGAAAACGAAGACGAATGAAATATAAAACGATTGCTAGGCAGAATCTGCTACCCAGAGAGACACTCTGAAAAGTTCCACGTCAGACATTCTTTAATGTCATGTTCTCAGTAATTCATGAGAGGTTTGACATTTATCATTCTGACAGATTTTAAAATCTTATATTCCATTAAATACCATATAACATTTTTATGTGTATCGCACCCGTCATTCGGTATAATCAAAAGAATGTTTAATCCATTTAGCAATATTCTATATGCATACATTATATGGCTTCAGTACGCATCGTCGAAACTACTATATTTCAACAATTTTAACTGGCATGTAATGTTCTTTGTGAAGAATAGAAAACTTCAAATTTTACAACATAAACATTTTTTATTAAAAAAAAATAGCGATTATTTTACACCAATTTTTCCACCAAATCGATAAATAAAAGAGTGATTCCAATTTTTCATTATTTGAGACGCTATTATCTCTCGCAAAACCAGTTTCACGTATATGAATATAATATAAAGTTAAATATAACGATGCTCTCATAATTTTTTGCTGGCGAAGTATCCCTTATTTATAAATAATTATTCTCAATTTCGTGAAAGTTTCATGCATATGCTACGCTTCAGGTAGGAAGCATACAAAAAAAAAAAAGAAATCATTATGCATGCGCTGAACGTGATTATCTGCCGATCGAAGTGCAAGGGAAATAGTGTTTCAACATCGAGAGAAGAAGCAATTACCATTTCTTATACAGATAATGAACATAAAAAAAAATATTAAAAACAAGATAATTTCACGTCAAATTATTAACTTTATCGTGCCAAAGATTTTTCTGACATAGCGCCAACGGCGTCGTCAAAATATTCATCAAGTTGATCGAAAATTAGTGTGAAATGTTTTTATAGACAGAGAAAATTGCTTGATCATCTAACGATTTTTTTCTCTCAGTTAAATTGTCGAATTTGGTAAACACGTAGGTATCTTCCCACGCACGTGGTACAGTAACACATAAATCGACCTTATTGTATTTTTCTTCGTGCGGTGGTTGCGAGTCACCGCGTCGCGTCGTTGCGATTGAATACCGTTTTTCCAGAACAGCTGGAGCTTTGGCAACGAGATTTAAATAATGAATGGAACACGTTGTCAAAATCCACGAAGCGTGTCGGCGAGCGCCAGTTGTTGCATAACGCGGCGCAATGCGGCGCGGCGGCGGCGGCGGCGTCGAGCTTATGGCTGGGAAAATGCGGAATTCCAAAGACTCGCGATCGTACCTATTTAGCTGAGCGCAGGTATTTCCGCGCGTAACAGTTGCAGCACAACATTAATGGCCATCCAATGAATTTCAGTGGCTTCATAGATATACGATTTGTATCCATTAGAACATTCGTGAAGACTTCGTGCTTTCCTCGCGCCTAATTACTTCAATTATTCGTTCAGTGTTAGTACGATGCAGCCGCGCGTCGACATTGCACGCGAGCGGTTCAAATTTGTACAACATTAATCTCGTCTATCACAGCTGGTTTTACGTGCATTCGATATCCATCATATGAGGCTCGGGTGGCCATAACGGTTACAGTTACATGCAAACCCTTTCCCACGCGAACGAATGGAATGTATTAATTAAAAGAAGAAAGTGCGACTCATTTCGCCTTTATCTTCTTAAATTCTCCGAAATTATCGATGTATATCTCAAAAGGAATTATATTATGGAACACGCTGTCAAGTATAGACTCAAGCAAAGGATTAAATTGACGTAACACAGCGAAGCCTGATTCGTCGTCGAATATATGTTCGGGAATCGCAGTTCAGCTTTGCAATATTTTCACGAGATTTCGGTGCCCACGCTCGCTCGAGAACCAACACAGCATATCGAGAATGTGATGATCGGCCTGCGGCTACGAATTCCGTTACACGCACTTGTACGGTTCCGTGGATCTTCCTATATACTCTGCCCACGATGAGATTTTTATGCTCCATCTATCTTGCGATTTTCGACACCGATTTAACGATCGTCATCTCACTGACGTGAAGTAAAAATGTTGAGCAAATACGCATCTTATTTGACACATATAATATCATGAGAAATTAACTACAGATCATGATATAATAATCGATGAAAGATGTGAAATATACGTATGCACGCAGTGGTTCTCTCCTACATGTGTTACAGGTGCAAGATCAAAGAACGAATATTTCATATAAAAAAAACAACTCACGTTTCCGACAAGAAAATTAATTCTAGAGTTGCACGCGACATAGAAAATCATTACCGATGCACTCGATTAGTTTGTTCACTCCAGTAGAAAATTCTTCACTCGTTAATCAATTCATGAGAATCTTGAATTTAATACAGTTATTAATTATAAATACAGTTATTTCATATACAGTACACTTTGCCAGTAATGGATAATTAGTTGTTCAATATCCGCACAATACATTGTTAAATATCACTGGATTATATCGCGATGTTGATTGTATTATTAACAGTAGAACGCTATCAACGTGATAATTAAATAGTGTGAATATTGAAGAAAAATAATTATTTCTTACTGATAAAATGTACTGCATATGGAATAACAGTGTTTATAATAAGATCCTCCAAGATCCTCATTAATGAGAGACAGGATACGTAAAGAGGAGAGAATTGGAATACATTTGACAATCGTCATCGAAACCTTCACGATCAGCTGATTGCTCGACAGTGACCCCAGGTCAATCTACTTTCTACTTCTCACATTCTGCCGAGATCAGAGGTGATATTGCGGCGACGGGGGGCTATGCACGATGCCTTCGAGTGGAAGCGGACATACTTTCACAGCGACGGACGGTATACATATCGTTAAATTATCGGGATGCTGATGGGTGAAAACGGATGGAGGCGGTGCTCGTTGTTCACCTGCCCGCGAGAGAAAAATAAGAGGGAAGATTTATTAGTCGGAATACTTGGAGAGTCTCCATGGCTTGGAAGAATGTTTATGACAACCGGAGAGCCACATCGCGAAAAATTTGCGACGTGGAAAATTTATCTTTGTAATTTACCGACGCTTGAGATATCTAACATTATCTACGTTGAAAGCAAGCGATAAAAAAATTCGATCGAAAGCCTTTCGAGATTTCCAAGAATTCCCGCCTTTGATATTGGAAGTAATATAAAACTTTACGACTCTGATCTGCATGAAACTTTACAAGAAATAAAGACAGACTCGAATGGCCATTATTAATCGCATAATATCGACACAAATATAATTTTCAGAACACTTACGTCGAGGAACGGTGAAATAAAATTCCACTTGAGCGGAGGTCAATCGTGACGAATGAAATTTCAAATATAACAGAATACAAGTTACAGTTAGCGCTTCGTCATAGTATACAAATGTCTCGCGTCGGAATGTAATTTATATCGACACGTGCCTTGTTTGTTTATAATTTGTCCCGCTGCTATCTATATGTAATAGCGTAATCAGTAAAACGAGCAGGTACGAAGAAAACATGAGACTTCCGTATTAAGTTGGTCACGCGACTAAGCCGGTATATACAGTCGCTTAATGATTGTCCGCGATCCTCGGTACTATGTGACACGATTCGTCTGCCGGTATCTATTTGCTGATTGATTCCGCTAGTAAATGGATACGATTAGAAAATAACCATCTGGCGACGAGACGAGAAACATTACAAATTTTCTCGGGCAAGTGTTTAAATTTCCGGCTTTGTCATAATCTATAAATAATGTAGTTGACTGTATTGATCGTTTTGTTGATTTCTCTATTCCACGCGATGGATCATAAATAATTCTTTACGAGTTAAAATCAAACAGGTTTCACCTCGATAAGAACCTGTCTCTCAATTACGCCATGTCACAGAATTGTGCGACAATGATTTGATTTATTTTCAGGGAGTGGTCAGCATTCCATTGGAGCGTAAAGATCAGCGAACTTGCCATGAATTAAGATCAATTCAAAAAATGGATGTCGCCAAGGGCACAACAGAAGATTTCGTGACGGTGGTCAGCGTCGGCAGTCAGCCGATGTCGGAAAACTTTGTGACCGTTCTATCGATCGGCAATAGGAAGAAAGACGATGAGGAATCGCCGGCGACGGGCAAAAGTTTGCCGAACGGTATGGACGGGCACCTCGAAGAAGAAGTCGAGGTTTTTAGATTACCCGGAGAACGTTTGGGTTTTGGACTCAAATTCGAAGGCGGTAACAAGACTGCTGAGAGAGTTAGAAGACTGTTTGTACAGAGCTGCGCGGAGCAAAGTCCAGCCAGCAGAGCGAAATGTTCGTGGGGCACCTTAGGCGAAGGAGACGAGGTAATAAAGATAATCCGAAACGCTAAGCATTTTGTGCGGACTACAAATTGATTTTTTTAATTTATTTTCTCGAGAGAGAGAAGAATTCTTAGATGCGCACGAGCGATACTACGATTCTTACAATAGATGTATACAAACGATATTTTCTTAATCTTGTTTTCCGCGCGTTAACACGGGTCTGCTTTCGCTGACGTGATATTTTGTGCTGTAATGCATGTGATAAATTCAAGAAAGTAACATTCATGAACATGATTTCATTCAATCTTAACGGCACGTGAAATCTTTCACGCATCATACATGTCGCTTTCAATTACGGAATCGACAAGTTTCTTCTGTAATTGATAAAGATCACAATGGAACGGTAGATTCCTACTGGTATTCCAATGTCGGTATAATGACTGACGTATAATTATTTGCACGCATCGAACCGCGACGTTTGCATTTGTGGCGTAATGTCAGCAACCTGAGTGAATGAGGGAAAGAGAGAAAGAAAAAAGTGGCAAAAATTTTTCTCGCATAAATTTACGACAACGTGTATTCAATATCTTAATTTATGCCATAAAAATGATTATGTTAAACCATTTAAAAATATAGCTAGATACGGATCTAAAAATAATTTGTTGAGTTCAAAATAATAATTACATAAGAAACTCAAGCGTGATGAGTAAAAATTTTAATATTTTAGCAACCATAGCTTGAGCGTTCTACACAAATTTTGATAATCCAATAAAATTGTTTTCAAATCATTATATTTAGATAAATTTTTAGATACTTAAGCAAAACCGTTCTTCCCGTATATTAAAGAAAAGTCGATTTTAAATTTATCAGAGTGTTTGTCAATAAAATGAAAATGGTAAGTTATGAGACAGCGATATTGATGTGCATATATAGCATATTTTTCTTTCACGGAACAGCTGCAAGATAAGACGGTGCACAAACGCACTCTCTTTAGCTCCCACGGTGCACTTCACCGTCTATGATTTTCAAGACCTACTTCCTCCCTAATGATCCTCAAGAGAAGTTTCCTCTCACCTCCATTACTTGTTTACATTGGAAATTATCGCGAGCAATAAGCTCTTCTCCGCGTTTCTTCCTTGTACTTGACAATCACGTTACATCTCTCGCAGGTACTGTCGATCGATGGTATACCGGTGACACACATGACCCGATTGGATTGCGTGAGAAGACTGAAGGAGTCGCAACTGGTCATCAGGTTGATGGTGAGATGTCGTGGCGCTCTTAGACCGGAAGTGGTGAGCGCTGAGAGAAAAATCGAAAGAAGCAAAGTGCCTCCAGAATTACCCGCAGCACCACCGCCTGTACCACCGAGAAAACTGAGACAGCCTCGAGGACCTGCGGACGGCGAGGCAAATCCTAGTCCCATCAAGAAATTGTTGGACAATTCGAAATCTCAGAATGGATTGCAGAATGGATCGCAAAGTGGCGTGCAGAATGGCTCGTCAATTTCACAAATCGGATTACAATGCGTAACCAAAATAAACTCGTACGAGAGTTACGAGTCTTCGCCGAGAAACATTAACGGATCGAATCAGGAGAACCTGAAAGAATCGCCGAAAGACCGTTCGCCGGAATCCGTGAAAGCGAAGCAGGTAATCACGATAAAGAAACAAAATAGATTAAAAATATTTTTAATAAATTTTTTAAATTCACTGAATTAAAAATAAATGCTATAAAAATGTGAAAAAAAAAGTCTCTTATATTTGTAGGAACCACCGGAAGCAATGGTTTATCTGGATGCGCGATCACAATGTGGCTCCACGCATGGCAGCACATCCGATGATACCGGCAGTTCCATGTCCACCGTAGTGGACAGATTCTCGACGTCCGATCGCGTGTCGACCATATCCACGACGTCGACAGCGTCAACCGCAGGTTCCGAACAGCCAAGCGAATTCTCGGGCGTCGATCGAGACTTCGACCGATCATCCGATCGAGATGTGCTACTGTCGCGAGCGATCTGTCCACTCGAGCATCTCGAGCGGGATTTCTCGAATCCGCCAGATTACCTGCTCCGCCGTCTTGCCAATTCTGAAGCGGTGACGCACGTGGAATCGCGCGGTGAAGTCGAACGAATTACAGCGGTCGTCGCACCAAACACGGTGTTGATCGAGGAAACGATCACTCTTCAGCCGCCACTCAGCTTTCAGGATGCCCCGCTGAGTTACGGACATGAGGCCAGGCCGGATCTCTTCTACACGGCCGACCTGGCTGCCGACTCGACGACGCATTTCAGGCCAATTAAGGACGACGTGGAGCTCGTGGAGCGCGTCAACGGCAACCACGAGGAATTCCAAGAAGCGATCTCTGTTTCCGGCACGGGGAGAAGCAACGGCGACAGGTCGTCGCCACCGCCGTTGCCGGCTAGAAATCACGTTAATAGGATCTGCGTGAACCAAATGCAAACGAGCGAATCAGGAAACGAGGCGCGGCCGCGAATCTCCGCAACGGTACCTGTTTCTTCTGAAAGAGAACTTTCGGAAGCTCCTCTATTACCACCGAAACCATTACCGAGAAAAGATGTTAAAGCTAGACGGAAGAGACCACCTCCGCCACCTCCACCTCCAATTATAACACCGCGAAGAGAAATTAAACCTTCATCGTCAATCGAGTCTAATCGCATAACAGGGAAAGAGAACAATAATCTTTCGCAAGTTAAGAACACAGAACACATTCGACCAGGAGTATGCAATTCGTCACCAAATCAAAATAATATCCTTGACGAAAAGAGTCAAAAAATCGAAAGTTCAGATGAAAGTCTCGATAAAGAATCTGACATGGAGAACATTTGCCTTAATAACGAGAAGGATAAAGCTGCAAGTTTGGAAGAAAAGGCACAAACAAATAAAGTCTTTGAGATTATCGAAATTAGAATGGCTAAAGGTTTGATTGAAAAACAGTCTGATCAGAAGGAGGAAAATAAATCGAATAACACAACAGAAACTGTGAATTGCGAGCAAAATAAAGTAAAAAACGAAGTAATTAATAAAAATCAACAAGATCAATTGCAGCCTACGAATAATTCGAATAAAGTTTCACCAGAGCATGAAAATTCGATCTTGGAATCAACTGATAAGCTCATTGACGAGTCAAACGATGAAAAAGAAAACTGTATAAACTCGAAAAATTGTCATCAAGAGGAAACTAGAACAAATAATCGGGATAATTTTAAGGAAGTGTTTCCAACAAACGAAGAAGATATTTTATCGGTCGATAATTCTACGGTGCGAGAAAACGAAGATAACGAAACTTATCGATCGCTCGACGTGGTCAACGACGATATAAAGAATCCGGAAATAAATCAAATACTAGAGAACGAAGAAATTACGGAAGAAGAAGACACCACTGACGAAAGCGACGACGGCGATTATTACTGGCAAAGTAATCTCGCTACGATTGGCGAAGAGGAGGAAACTTCCTTAGAATATATGAATGCGTAAGTTTGCAATTGTATATTCCAGTAGTAACATAAATATTATTATTCAAAGATGTAGGGAATTTAAGATGTTTGTTTTTGGAGAAACGTGATTTATGTATATTTACTTTCACCACACTGCATCTCAATTATTATGTCAAAATTTAATATTGTTAATTTATTGCGTAAATAAACAGTAATATTATAGTATACATATTACATAAAATTAATTGCAATTATTCCGTGTTTATTTCGAATAAAATGGTTGCAGTTAGCTGTGAAATAAACTGCTGAGAAGAGTGTCAAAGAGTAAATTATTATAGAACTCACTGATGCAGCACCATGCAACGAATGAACTTTAAAAAGAAATTAATTCACTTTCTTTATGGATATGGGTTGCCTGCCGTGTGCGGCACATGGAGAAAAGGTTAATTGACCGTTCTAAGAATAGAAAAGAAGGTTGTCGATTACTGAGAATCGAACAGTCGTTTGACTCGGCCGTCCCACGAGGTGAACGCCTCCATGCAAATGCTCGACATTTGCTTATTGCTTTGAAAAGCGATCTCTCCTTCTTTGCATGACGCTGCAATCACTTCTCGAACCATTCGAACAGCGATTGCTGTTTATTAAATCTTTTAATAGGTTTTCCTAGCGTTGAAACGCGCGCGCGTGTAATAGGATACATAATTATTTTTTTAAATAGCTATATATAAAATAATTTTGCTTTTACTCATCACAATCGCGACAAGATGAAAAAAAATAGCTATTCTCTTTTAAGCAGTTAGAAAAAAAAATCTCTGACCTGTTGCAGCAACGCAGACATGAATGATTCCAGTGAGCTGACGGTGGAGCCGGAAGAATCGCCTTCTGCAATCAAGAAAGATATGTTCGTTAAAAACGGTAAGTCAATTTATACGCTAATTAAACTTTAATTAAACCTCAAAATACGATTTGAGTCAATAAAGCCGCAATTTATCTAATTAACGGAAGAATGCGAGGCCAGCACAGAACGATTAGAGATGCATTCGCTAATAGCAAAAGGCAACAAATCAGATGGTTGAGCCTATTAAAGCTAACTGCGTAAAAAAAGTTAGCACGTCATCAATCGGCGCAACCTTGAGTTGCTAATTGATTAATTGACTTTGCTTTTGATGGCGCCATCAATGTTTGCATTGTTCCGGGACCAACGGGAAACGGATTGCGATTATTCAATTCGCCAAATGCAGGTATTATTGGAAAAAAAAATTACGAAAAACTCTCGAGTGCCGGAGGACACCCGGTACACAACACGCCCACGCTACCGTGGCACGTCACCGTCGAGTTTTATAAAGGTTACGCATTAATCACCTTGCGTTACGCGCCCATACGGCTCTCAGGTTTCGCGCGGGCGCGAATGCATTCAAAACGGAGGCAGGTCGCGAATCGAGACAAAGGCGTGTAGAGCGGCGCGCCTTCCTCGCAGGGAGAAATTCTTATTCACCAACGTGCATTCTGTGATATTTTCGCACGAATGACTAGATGTTCGCGTTTCCTCTTCACGATATTATGCACGAGATCTTAATCAAGACATCTTTCTGATATTCTCTCCTTTTCTGCTTGTTGGTTCGAGCCCCTTATAATTTATTTCTACTTAAACACCACATCAGGAAAGCTCTCCATTTGAATGCACTTGACTTCAATGAGATACCTGTTTGCGTAATACATGCTCTTCGAGAAAACTATTTAAAGAGAAATATGTTATCACACATGCTCGTCATCTTTCGCCGCAAGTTGAAAAATGTCTATCTCGCCAAGGTAGATCAATGTTCGATCGAGAAAACGGTAATTTCGCCATAGAAATACCGGAAATCAAATGCCAGTCGAGCGATGGTAATAATTCGCACGTGATATACACTCGATATGAGATATCAAAAACATTCCACTAATCGCGATATAGTATTTCTAGCTTATTTCACACATGTCCTTTTTTTTTCAAGTTAATGAATACGCAGCTTCATCGAGAAAAATTCCAAAGGAAAAAAAGGCAGTTTATATAATAGAAGCAATTACAAAGTTGGATAATAATAAGGAATAGTAAGCGGTGGTATAACAATTAATTTGCACAATACTTTTTTCAAAGATGCACCGATCACGCACGTTGTACGTACGCTATACGTACGTTAGAAGCGATGTATAATTTTCTAATGACGATTCCTTGCTTCCCGCGTGATTTCGACATTGTCTTTACTGCATCTACTTCCTTTTCATTCATTTTTTTTTCTTCTTGCAACGCGAACAGCGCGATTCATGAAGCGAATCGTACGATAAGGAGTGTATCGGTGGATCCTTCACCCGAGACTTTACCGTAGCCGGACGCTTTGTGCAAAGCGGGAAATAAGGAAATTCCGTCGACGCGGTCTCTAATCGGCACGGTCGGCGTTCCTGCGCTCGAACGTGGATTCCCGGCCGCCGGCCAGGTGGGTGTGAGAACAAAACCGTTAAGAATAATTCGAGAATCGCCTGGCAGTGAGCGGCGGCGATGCTCGCGCGGATTGCTAACGAACAGCCGAAGCTGCCGTCCGCGAAGTCCGCGTATTAAACGCGAAACTTTACGGTCAGGCGCCTTCGGGTTGCCGGGTGCCGACAACGTATTAACCGACCATTTTTCCGACAAATCGACGGGGACGTATATGTTCCTCTCAACCCCGTTAAATATTAAGTCGTAAAAAGTCTCACGGTATCCATTACACCCACGGTATCCGTTTCGCCGCGCGCGAATCCAGGTAGGTACGTGAAAATACATTACGTCATTTTACACATCGACTCGAGAGTCTTTTCTCTCACGCCATTATACGTACACTGGAAGACTTTGGAGGCAATAACATTCTAAGTTGCTTGTTAGGAAACAAGTTGCTAAAGCTATAATTCTTTTCAAGTTGAATGAGATTAGCGTGCAGCTTTGGCAAATTCGAATTTCTTGAAATCTCTTCAAAAACACTCGCTGACTGCAACGCTAATAATTTGATAGCAGCTTTTTATTCAAAACGTAGCGTTGCACGATGTGTAATCGCATCCGGGATAGAATAAGCAAACGAGAATGCGTCTATTGTATTAGCGCTAGCTCGACGATTCCCAACTCTCTTCCGTTAATTATCATGTATCCTATATTGTTACTCGACATTTACGATCGATCCGGCGCCGCGAGCAGCGCACATACGAGTACATACGCCTGTTGTAAGTGGTGGATGGCGGCCGATCGGGGTCCAGCAAAGCTTACTAGTCACAACAATATGGCGATCCCGCCGCGGTCTTCAC